ATAGAGGTGGTGTGGAATTAATAAAAAGGGTGATAATAAAAAACCTCCTGCCTAAAATCCCCCAAAAAACCTAGGCACCAGGCTAAGCAACTAAAAAAACTTAAACTAACAGGACCCTAAACACAGGCAGCAGAGTGCAGTTCCGCAGACAGGGCTCAACTGCTAGCTCACAGACTGCAGTGCCAGACTCTTTTGGTTCAAGCAGAGCAGATCCGATGTCCCAGGAGCTCCAAGCTGGGAGAGCTGCTTCGCTTCAGAGACTTCCGGCAGATGTTGCTAACTAGTTAGAAGCAGACACTCGGCACAGACCCTTACTGCAGCTTCCAGAGAGCTGTGCAACACTAGAATTCACGTAGCCTTAGGCGGCAGGCCTAGCTCCAGTCGCAGCTTGTTGAGCTGATATCTCTCCAGCTTCTTGGGATCACAGTCCAAGCAGCCTGACTGCCAGTGGCACCTTGAGCAGACACCGAGGCCAGTGAGACGGACATGCTCGATACGAGCTTTGTCCTCCGCGGACATATCTTCTGCACCAGGTTCCTTGTTCAGAGCCAGCAGAGCTTTGGCCATCTGGACGAGGCTCAGGTGAGCTTCAGACTCCTTGGCAGACTTTGCGAGCTTCTCCGTTCGCAGACGGTTCGCCTTGAGAGTCTTCTCCAGATCCTTCTCCTTCGTCGGCAGCTCCTTGGTGAGCTTGGACTGCTACCCAGAGAGCTGCACAAGCCAGCCTTTCAGCTCAGACATGAGCTCCAGAACCAGCTTTCCGCGAGATCCACGAGCACAGGAGCCTTCCAGAAGCAGGCCCGAGCAGATGCTCAACATGTTGGCCAGAACCCAGAAGCCGCATTCATCCGCCTCCTGGGTGCCAGAGGGGCTTCTTTCGGGTAGGACCTCCGTGGGCAGCAGCAGGGACAGAAGTCTCGCGGCGTTCACAGAGCAGTCCTCATGCTTAGCTTGCCCCCAGACTGGCACGAAGACCACCTTGTTCTCAGAACGGAGTCGATCCAAAGCAGCCTGCAGAAGCTCCGGCCGGTCGTGGTCTCCCGCCAGAACCTGGCCAGACAGCTTGGGGTCCGACGCTCCCAGGCGTACCTCAGATGCTGACCCAGAAGCATCTGAGGATAAGACTTCTTGAAAGCCAGAAGTTCCAGAGGCTCCGCGGCAAAGAACTTGCCAGAACTCTCCAGAAAGAGGCTAGAGCCGCCGCAGGCTCGCAGAACCATCTGCTTCAGATCCCCCTTCAGCCGCGGATTCTTCCACTTCTTGGGAGACTTCCAGAATGGATCCACCTCGCAGACCTCCTTGTCAGAGAGGAACACAGTGGCAGAGGCATCTCCAACACCTGAGTCCAGAGGCAAACAGAAGTACTAGCATGTGCACTGCTGCAGACAGATAAGTGCGACTAAGCGGCCAGTCAGAGAGACGACTAAGCGGCCAGTCAGAGAGACCTGATTGGTCAGCAAGTTGTGCAGATTGCACTTGCCAGACTTGCCACAGTTGCTGTCCTCTCGCAGAATCCAGCAGACTCGGAGGTACAGAGGGCCCTTGGTCGCCTGATTGAACTCAGAGGCCTTCTCAGACACGGGGTCAGACGGGGCAGAGCCTGGCACCAAAGCAGAGGGCTTGTCGTCCAGAGCCTTGGCCTTCGCCAGAGCCTTGGCAGCCTTCCCCAGAGCCGTCTTCTTCTGGTGCTTCAGACCCTTCTTCTTCACCAGAGAGGGCTTCGTGTCAGGGGCTCTGGGCACCAGCCGCTGCAAAGCCTGCTGCCGAGACATCTGCGTCAGAAGATGCCGCATGGCCTCCAGAAGCTTGCCTCGCAGCTTCTGCTTGGCCAGGCCGACAATCAGCTTGACGTCTCGTTTGACAGATCTTTTCTGCGGAAACTTGGCATCCGCAGAGAGCTGCTTCTGCCAGGCTGCCCGCTGCAAGTCCAGAGACAGGGTCAGGATGCCAGACTCGATGCAGGGAAGCTGCAGATCCACACATTGAGCATGGCCTCAGAGATCAGAGTGGTGGTAGCTCCATTTCACCAGATCCGCTACGACCTTGGCTCCCTGCAGGGCAGACCAGTCGGGCTTCACAGGAGTGCCAAACGCATCCCGCCAGGAGAAGCGGTCCTCCAGCCAGCTTGGCTTTGTCCTTGCAGAACCTCGGTTGCCAAACGGTTGCTGAAACAGATTACATGCATGCAGCACTCTGAGTGTGACAGAGGAACCAGAGTCTGCTTGGAGAAGTCAGGTCTGTAAGCTAGCAGACCGTTGCGGCGTAAACCAGACACGATCCAGTCTTTGCAGGCTTGTCGCTGAGACATCTCGGCTTGAGCCTGAACAACAGCCTTCGCCATGTCCAGATGGCTCGCTCTCCAGAACTCCTTCTCGCCAGCAGCCAACAGAGCGGTCTGACCAGAGTGCCTGCAAGCAGGATGAAGGGTCGGGTTCTGTACTTACTCCGGTCTACAGAGGCAGCTACAGAGAGGCGGCCTGAGCTGGTCCATGGCCGAATAGTCCGTGTCAGTGAGTGCAGACTGGCCGTCAGTTTCGGTCTGACCGTCTCCAAACACTGGCCATAGAACAGAGACTCGGCGGCAGAAGGCGACCAGGCTGCGGCGAAGCAGTCGCGAACATGCACAGAGGCAGGTGCTAGAGCAGCCAGACTTTCCTGAGACCAAGTAAAAATGTTCCCATCCACGTTGCCTCAAGGGTTGCGACATGACGCAGTTCTGCCTGAACAGATCCGGAGCCTTCCTGTCGCCAGCCCCGAAACAGATTCCCTGCCGAAGAGCCAGCCTTGCGGCAGATGAGCTTGCCAGCAGACTCAAAGCTCTCGTCTTTCAGAAATCGACCAGAGCTGTCGATGTTGTCCAGACAGACGAGAACTCGGCCGCTGAGTTCTGCCTTCCCGTCAGGGCCAGGGTCTTTGCAGAGGCCGTACAGAGCTTGCCTGGCCTCGTAGGTGACACGGTACCGCACAGAGTCCGCATCCACAAAGGCCCGCTTCTGTCTTTGTCCAGAGCGACTAGCAGCTTTTGCAGACGGTTTGACAGCCTCTGGCAGAGCTCTAACGGGAGCAGAGACATCGCCAGAGACTGACACCTGGCCAGAAGTTGCCAGATGGTGGCTTCTCAGCCTCTCTCGCAGATGCTGCTCTGCTCCCAGTCAGCATAGAGCTCCCGCTCAGACCCCGCCTTGATCCAGAGAGGGATCTGGTCCGAGCAGACAACGACGAGACCACCGAGGTTCTGTCTGAACTCAGAGGAGCGAAGCAGGCCAGGTGCAAAGTGTGGTCCAGACTCTGGTAAGTCAGCTTGGTAGAGACCTGTTCTTCTGCCTCTGAGAGCTTCGTCTTCAGATCTGGCATCAAATTCTTGGCATTAACGTCCTTCAGCAGCTGCTTCAGTGAGCTGCTTCAGACGGTTCCTGCCAGAATCTTTCGCAGAGCTCGCTCAAAGGAGTCTGTACAGGCAGCCTTCGCAGACTTGAGTTTCACCAACTCAGAGGTGAGCAGAAGCTGCCACTGCGAGAGAAGGCGGCGCTTCTTGACAGAATGCCCGTGTGCACGGGCTTCCTCGAACCAGGCCCGCAGAGCCTGCCGCACGCCAGGGAACTCAGACTTCTTGCCGCCTCCACTCAGACGCCAGCCTTGGCCTGAGTTTAGCTTCTTCTGAGACCGGACGCCAGTCTGGGCAGCACGGCTGTGGCCGGCCGCACAGAGTAGTTGCGGTCTGCCCGCTCTTTCAGAACCTCTTTTCTTTGCCAGAGCTTCTTCAGAGACTTCTTCCCCACGCCTAACGTCCTGCTCATGGATGCAGAGAAGTCCTGTTCAGAAGCAAAAGCAGGCGGCTCTGACTCCATTCGCTTCAGAATCTTTGCTTGCACTGCCAGAGGCATCTCTGCTTTCCGCTTCTGCAGAGGAGCTCCCTCAGGCTTCCGAGGCCTGCCAGCAGACTTCTTCCTGTGCCAGACTCGCTGCGCCTCTAAACGGACTTGCGCAGCAGGCAGATCTCTTTCTCGAGCGACTTCTGCCAGAATTTCCTTCATGGCAGACGACAGCGGCCTGCTCCTTGCGGCTGGGCCGGCTTCTCTAGAGGAGGCTTCTCTGCCAGAGGGTGGTCCGGCTTCCAGAAGCGAAACAGCCTTGGCTGCTTTCCCGTACCTGCACAGGTTCGAAGAAGCAAGTCAGAAAGCTATTTAGAAACAAGCCAGGGATTCCGGAATCCAGGAACTGCAGCAACTATTCTGGAGGCCTCTGCCTAACTAAACCTTTATATAAACGGAGCCATTTCAGAAAGCCGGCAAGGGTATCCCTTACGAGCCCTCCGGGTCGCATTAATAAAAGGGGTGATAACAATAAACTCCGCCGGGGGGTGTCCCGGTAGCATTGCTTTGCTTGAGAAGAGTCTTTAGAAAGGAAAAGCAAATGGCCGCTGCAGGCTTT